CTCAAAAGGTTTCTAGTGACTGGGTGAGGTTGCTGTAACTTGAGCACGGGATGAAAACTTGTGTTCTGGTTAAGCTAAGCTGTGATCATGAGCTAGGAAGTTTGGTGTTCTTAAACAACCTACCTGAAGAGCACTTTGGAGAGCAAAGACAGAAAGGAGTGTTAGAAAACTACAGACCAATGCCTTTTACCTGGTGATCTCTTGCACACCTGACTTGCTCCTCCACCTGTGTATGAGGAAATAATTCCCCATCAACCAAGCAGTTTAAAAACACTTTAACCAGCAACCATATTTAAATGTTATTTTGTGTATCATGCCTTTATTTTTTTATTGGTCTCGTTAATGTTGAGATTTTGTAGCGTCTTCCACTGTCCTGTCAGAGGGAAACAGAAGATCTTGCAGCAAAAACGGGTCAGAGCAATCTCACTGATATATTGTGCAACAAATTGTTGTGAACCTGGAAAGCAGTTTTCTACTGGATGTTGTATAAGCTGGGTGGACAAGCAATATAAATAAGCTGATATTATGTTGCATTAGAGGTGAAAGTGAAAATAATAGCACTTATGTACGTATTATAAGCCCTTTTCAGGCTTTTGTGCCTTAAACTCTTGGAGAAATAGGAACAGAGAAACTACCTGTAATAAATGTCTATCCAAGGAATAGTTTGGTAACTGAAATTGCTGCTGCCGAGCGTTTCGTTGCCTCCCTGCCCATGTTGATGCAGAGATTTGCCACAAGATTTAAATACTTTGATAAAGCTACTTCTACTACACCTTTGTTTGTGTCCATAATTATGATCTATTTGTCAGTCTGTGGTTTTCTCCTTAACAACTGCACCCGGGGATGCGAGGAACTGGAGTTAGGTTGTCCCTGACCGAGTGGAGCTGGAGGACTGCTGGACTCCTGCCTTCTCATCTGCTGTGAATTCTTCCTCCTGCTGTGCCCCTGACTGTGCTGCTGCCAATGTCCTCACCTTCAGATCCTCTGAATTTGAGGAAAGGAATGTGCCCGATGTGTTCTGGGAGTTTCAGAGGCAGCAGAAGTGGAAGAGAGCAGAGCTTTTATATCTTCTGCTCAGCTCAGAGCAGCCCCTCTTCCTGGGAAGTTCAGTGGAGTGGCATTCCAGAGGTGATGTAAAGAAGGGAGGTTTATGTCCTGCTGTTAAACACTTTGTAGATCATTCTGTTCCTGTGCTGCCTTGTGTGCCCTTCTCCTCTTTTGCAGCTGTCTTTCCTCATCCCCCCAAATTTTAGCTTTTTAATGCAGCCATCTCATTTTGCTGCAGGAGGTGACCTGAAGACACATTTATTTGTCAGTATAAATTTACTCTCAGCTGCCCAGCATTGCTATCCTGTGGAGTATTTCCCAATGCCTGGATAAACCCTCTCCATCCAGGCCTGTCCCTAAAGGAGAGAGGAGCAGGTTATCACCTCCCACCGACAGCAACCCTGGGGGAAAGTAAAATCCTTTTACTCTCTGCTTTTGTTTTCATAGTGGAAGAAAAATGGTAAATATTAGTCCAACTCATCCTGACCCCTAATTCCTGGGAGAGCTGGGCACATACAGACCCTCGGGAGGAGCAATTTGGGAGCACAGAGGCCAGCAGGGATGACCTGCTGACGCTGTTTACTGCTGCTGCAGAGCCCAAAATAGCTCCTGCGTTTCCTTATAAGAGAGGTTGATGTGAGGCTCTGGGCCACATTCCCTGGAGGTGTGAGCCAGCCTTTTGGGGTTGTTTGGGAGAATCTCAGCCAAGGTCTGTGGAGCTGTTAAATCTGTGGTTTTTTTTTTTTTTTGTGTATCACTTACTCACCTTAATGTTCATTTTCAGCTCCCGGCCGTTATTGCAGCGTCTGAAGCACAGAAGAGGCTTTTATGTGGAGCTCCAAAACAGCCATCACCTGGAATTTGTAGGGTCTGTGCTTTGGAATCCAAGTCAAACAGAGTGTGGGATTTTGTTTCTCCTGGGTGGCTGCAGGAAAAGCCTGGATTAATTACCATTTAGTGTCACACGGGATGAAAGACAAGGACTCCGTGTGGTAAGGTAAATCCTGCTTTTATCTTCATGTGCTCAAGGCAAGAAATCCCAGGCAGATGATATCACAGCTCCCTGGGATTATGTAATTCCTGAAAATTGCATCCAAATCTGCCACTGAGATTATGGAGCACTCTGCCTTTCAGCAGGCAGGGTTTATAGCAATTAAAACAACAACCCAAACACTCTTGTTGAAGATGAGATAATCCAATTTAGATGAAAGTGCAGGGACTCAGATTCCCATTTGAGTTACACAAACTGGGAAAAGTTCAGCAGAGCTAGAGGGATGTGGGTGTGTTTGGACTCCCCAAAGGGTGAGCTCTGAGGTTGTGGGGTGGCCTGTTGCCATTAGCCTGTGTTTAATTAAAAGCTTGACAATACACACCAGGGGTGGCCTGGGAAAGATCCTGACCCGCTTCCAAAGGGATGAGGAGTCTGGAAGCATTTCTTGAGCTGATCTGGGGCTGGGTGAGGGGGCTGACAGGGGGCTGACTGTGATGATTTTTTTCCATGTGAGCCTGACTAGACAAAACTCCTGTTACTTGGATCAGTGTCAGGACACGGGTTCATATCCCGCACACTGAGACGTACCCAACACCCTCAGGAATTTCTCTGAATCCCTTTTGAGGAACAGAGATAAACATTTGACTCTGATCTTTCCGTGCTGGGTTTCTCATTACTGCCTTGTTAATCCCCAGCTTCTGCTAAACAAAGATCTGAGAGGAATTTTTACCTTCCAGCCTTGCTATCTCCCAGTGCATCTTGTAAATCGTACTGGATACACCAGTTTCTGGATTTAACTTGGGATTTGCTTAGACATGAAATGAATTCAGTGGCAGGATAGGGTATGAATTTGAAATGCAATAGCAGAAACTGCTAGAGCTGGTTCAGGAAATGTCACTGACAGGGCTCACTTTCCCTTTTTGCCTGGTGGAAAACGTCTCCTTTTTTTTCTTCCTTTGCAGTTATTCCCCAGTCAAAATGGTTTTTCCAAGTGCAGTCAGTTTGGTAGGAAGGGTTTTGGGGTCCTGCTTGGCACACACCCTTTTTTCTCAGCGACAGGGTGGGATTGTTGGGGTGTCCTGTCCATGGCCAGGAGTTGGACTCGATGATCCTTGTGGGTCCCTCCCAACTCAGCATATTCCATGATTCTATGATTCCAATGTCATGTTGCTTCTGCTGTTAAGTTTCCAGGGAAAAAGCAGTGATGGATAACATAGTTAAGGTAAAAAAGATTGAGAGCTGATCATGGCCAGGGCTTGGCTTGTCCCAGGGAGCCACAGGCACAACAAACCCCTGAATCACTTAATTCTCACTTGTTTTTCCTCACTGATGGTGTTCACAGAGCACATCCCTGTGCATTGCCTGCTCCCACCTGTCAGGTGATGGGAATTGCAGCCTCTTCCAGCATTTTCTCCCTGTCCTGTGCTGTGGAAGAGGCTGGTGAGAGGCTCCTGGGAGGTTTCATCAGGGATTCACTGATTGTGGATGTGCAGTGGGATTTTCCCTGCTCCTCTTTGGATCTCCATCCATCTCCTTGTGGTGGGCTGAGGTCTGCTGGGCATCCAGTGCCTTTCACTGTTGCTCTTTGGGGATTCTCCCAGTTCAGCCCCTTCCCAAACAATGTTTACCAAGGTTTGAATTTTTGAGGAAGACTGGGGTTGTTTTTTTTCTACAGTGATCTCCCAGTTTCTGCCCTGCCCTAGGATTTGAGAGGGAGATTTTTAGGTTCCTTTTGCACAAGTGGCTGTGCCAAGGAGACTCCAGGGAATGCCTCGTGACTTGGCAGAGCAGCTGGGAGATCCACGGAGGAGGAGGAGGAGGAGGAGGATGGGAGCAGCTGCTGGTCCCCTGTCCCTGCCAGCTTTGACAGGGGCTGTCTTTGCAAGGGTTTGGCCACAAAGTTTGGGGCTCGTTTCCAGACTTGGCTTTAAATGGGTGCCAGGTTTATTTTACTGCTGGTCTGGCATGTTTGGGGGGAGCTACCAGTTGGAAAGGACCATTCCTGAGCACTGGGAATTCTTTCATCTGTTAATTTTGCTCAGGACAGACTAAAAACTGACTGTTCTCCCCCATCCTTTTTGCCCTTTCTCCAGGGATCGGGCAGGGAGCATTCCTGGGCTTTTCCAGCAGATTTCCCAGAGGGGCTGTGCCTTCAGAACCTGCAGCTGTTCCAGCACTGCCTTCCAACCCTTTGGCAGGTGCTCCCACTTTAAATCCTTTCCATGGATTATGGATCACAAGCCTGACAGAGGTATTTTGTTGGCAAACAGACTTTTGTTTCCAAGAAACTTTCCTTCTATTCCCTGAGGGTGGGATGTTCCCCCCCATGTTCCAAAAGGGAGGAAGGAGTAGGGAAAAGGCAGCTGCTGCCCTCAGCTTTTCCAAGAGCAGCACCTGACGTGCCCCTTGGATGGAGGAGGAGAGAACTGTCTTGGTGCCACCTGGATTGGAAGGTCTTTGAGGTGGGGAAGGGGAGCACAGCTCACAGGTGGGGAATCATGGAATTGTGGAGTGGTTGGGGTTGGGATGGACCTTAAGGATCATCCGATTCCGATTCCTGCCATGGGCAGGGACACCTTCCACTGGAGCAGGTTGCTCAGTGGGGTGGGTTGGTCCTTTGGGAAGTGGGATGGGATGGAGTGGGATGGTGGGGGTGGGGAGGGACAGATGGATGGAGGGAGGGAGGGAGGGAGGGAGCGGGATGGATGGATGGATGGAGTGGGAGGGATGGATGGATGGACAGATGGATCGAGGGATGGATAATAAATGGGTAGATGGATTGGATGGAACGGGATGGGATGGGATGGGGTGGGATGGGATGGGATGGGATGGATGGACAGATGGAAGGATTGAGGGATTGAGGCATAGACGGATGGACGGCGGGGCCGTAGGCAGCCGGAACTACAACTCCCAGCAGCCTCTGCTGCCCCAGCAACCAATCAGCGCGCGCTGCCGTGCTATAAAGGGCGGGCGCGGGTTGCTTCCTCCCTCTCTCGGTAATGGCGGCGGGGCGGGTGGGCGCTGCTGGGCCCGGCGGGACCATCCTTCGACATCCGCCGCCATCCGCCCTCCCCGGGGCTCTCCCGCCGCCCGGCCCCGCCGCCCCGGCTCCCCGTGGGCACCTCGCCCCGCGGCGGAGCTTCGGGGCGCTCCGATGGCCGGGAAGGGCAGCGCGACCTTGATCCGCCCCGGGTGAGTGAGGGAGGGAGGGACCCCCGAGGCTGAACCAGCCCCCGTCCCGGGGCCCCGCGGGCCCATCCGGCCCTATCGAAGCTGCGTCTGTCGGTGCCGTGGCAGACGCGGTCAAAAAGGAGCCGAGAGCGAAGGGATTTTCCCCGACGGTCGCCGCTCAGTTGGAGCCTCTGTAACTGTCCGGCAACATCTCGGGAAAATACACGGCCCGGGAGGGGCTGGAGCTGGGGGGGAGTGGAAGGATTGGCGCTGGAAGGAAGCGGCTGCCCCAGATCCCTGCTCCTGGGGTCCGATTTGCTGCACGGGGAGGTGGGAGCGGGCGGGTATCCCACCTTCCTGTTGTTTTAAGATACTTTATGTACCTGAAGCTCAAGACTCTGTTCTTCCCCAGCAGCATCCTGGTGATCCCGGAGTATGGGATGGCTGGTGGCAGCCTCGCCCTGGCAGCGTTGTGCAGGTGAGGTGGAAGATCCAGGCCCTGGATTCTCCTTTAGGTTGGAAATTCGGGTGGTTTCATGGAAGCAACCCTGATCCAAAGCGGGTGGATCACTGTCACAGGCTTTCCTGGCTGAGCTGCGTGTTTATCTGCATGTTTATCCAAGAGCTGTGGCTCCACACAGTGGCTGCAGGTCTCCAACAACATGCCAGAGCAACGGGAAGGTCTTTGACTGCTGGGCCTCCTCTGCCCGTGGCTGTCACTCGCCCCTCCTATATATTTTTGGGAATTGGGCTGTTCCTTGTGGTTTCAGGGTGGGATGAGTCAGGGGTGTGTCCATGGGAATCTGCAGCCTGCTGCTGATTTTTAAGGGTTTGTGATGTCTTCCAGGATTCCTGGGTGTTTCAGAGCTCTCCTGCCTGATGGATAGACCCCAGGTAGGAACGTGGTATCCGTGTTGGAGCTCCACAGCTCATCCCTCCAGTTCCCTTTCCCATTAGATCTGAATACCGATCTTGTGGTCGAAAAAGGAGGAAGAGTAAAAATTCACCCTGGTCTAGGGCTCTCTGCGGGTGTGTCCTGTCCTGAGAGGGGCCAGTGGGAAGACAGGCTGTGCCAGCCTCGCTCCTTGGGGAAGGCTGGGTGGGAGGGAGGGGAAACTCCTGCTGGGGAGAAGGGATAAATGTTGGGCACGGAGGGCAGGGGTGTTGTGGTGGGTGGAGGGCTGGGGTTTATGTGGGGGGATCTGAGCCATGGATTTACAGGGATCCTTCAGCTTCGCTCTGGCTCTGTGTTTTCAGGAATTACTCACTGAGAAAGAATGAGAGCTTGTGAACCCTCTCCCAGGGGTCTGGTTTTGCTTCCTGTAGGGCCTGAGTCGTGGGGAAGCTGCAGCGTGGAGCAAGTGAGTGTCCTGGTGTTGGCTGGGCAGGAGGTTTGGATCAGACATCAGGAGGAAATCCTTCCCTGTGAGGATGGGGAGGCCCTGGCACAGGTTGCCCAGAGAAGCTGGGCCTGGCTGCCCCTGGATCCCTGGAAGTGTCCAAGGACAGTTTGAACGGGGCTTGGAGCAACCTGGGCTAGTGGAAGGTGTCCCTGCCCATGGCAGAGGGTGGGAATGAGATGAGCTTTAAGGTCCCTTCCAAGCCCAACCATTTGAGTGTTTCCCTGCAGGCAGTGCCTGGGTGGGATCAGTGGCAGCACAGCCTGGTCTGTGATGACTCCTGTGTCTGGAGACTGTTGGATGAGTCCTGCGGATATGGGGCTGAGGCCAGGCATGAGCTACCCCAAAACCACTCTGGGGTGGGGAGGGGACAGCCAGGAGCTCCTGAGTGCAGGTGGGATCTGGCACAGCACCAAGCCTGACTGCTCCTCACTCAGCTGGATTATTCTTTTTTTCAGGTGTAAGCAGAGCATGGAGATGAATTGAGCCCATTCCTGAGGGATTTGATGCTGCATGGTACTTTACCAGTCCTTCAGCAGTGGGAGCTCTGCAGAGCCAGATCCTGGCTCCTTCCCGAGCCATGAGCTCCTCTGGGCGGGATCCACTCCTGGACTCCACTCACCTGCATTGCAGGGCCAGGGAACTGCTTTGGCTGTTGCTCAAGATCATGTTCTGACACTGTGTGGGAGAGCAGTCCCTTCTGTGGAGTTTCCTCAGGAGTGGAGTTAATTAATATTAGTGGATATTAAATCTTGGAGGCTCAATAAACACAATTGCTTGAAATCCTTGTGGTGTCTCCCATGTTTGGGGTGTGTTGGGATGGGGTGAGGCTGGGCTGGCTCTGAGCCTGGCTGGGGGTGATCAGTGCCAGGGCATCTGAGCATCCCCTTCCAGTGGAGCTCAGTGGTGCTCCAGTGTGGGATCCTGTCCCTGCTGCAGCACCCACCCCTGGGGTGTCCCCACGGCCCTGGGTGGGTGTCCCTGGAATGCAGGAACATGCCTGGATCATCACAGAGGTGCTGGAGTAACTCCTGCAATCCTACACTTCCCAACACCCTCGGATGGAGCTTTGGTGATGCCAGTTGCCTGGTTTTTCACGATGGACAACAAGCAGGGATGTAGGGGTCACAACAGCTTGGGAGTTGTCATTCCCTGTCCTGGGATGGCTGGGCCATGGCTGAGTCCCCCGGGGTGACCTGGCTGTTTGGCAAGAGCACCTTTGTCCAGTGCCTCTGACCCCTTTTCCCTGCAGGAACTCCAGAGCCCCTTCCCTGTGGAGCTTCCCTGTCCTTCCTAGCTCTCCCAGGATCTCAGGGGGGACAACAGTGTGTCTGTGCACTCACAGCCTCCCTGTGCCTTTGTCACCAAAGCTGGGCAGCAGGACAGACCTGGCATGTGACAACGGCAAACAACACCCTGGGGACAGGAGGATAAGGCCAAACAACACCCCGGGGGCAGGAGGATGAGGACGGGGAAGCTTCTCCCTCCTCCAGGGGACGGTTTGTTTGTCTGCCCGGGTGACTGCGGGGCCAGAGCCGTCCCTGTCCCCAGGTGGGGTGGGGACAAGGGTGGAGACCTGTCCGTGTCACCGCCAGCACAGCAGAGTCAGGATCCCGCCGGTCATGGGGACGGTGACAGATCCCCCCCAGGACCCCGACCCCGAGGGACACTTCCAGTTCCGCGTTATCGTGCTGGGGGACGCGGCCGTGGGCAAGTCCTCGCTGCTGCGCTGCTTCGCCGAGGGGCCGGGGGGGAATCTCGGGGGCGCGGCCACCCCCGGCCCCACCGTGGGCGTCGAGTTCTACAACCGGACCGTCCCGGTGCCGCCCGCGGGCAGGGCCAAGCTGCAGCTCTGGGACACGGCCGGCCAGGAGCGCTTCAGGTGAGCTGGGGACGGGGACACAGCCCCCACGCGGGACCCCAGACCCTGGGGTGGGTGTAAATCCCCGGCGGGCGTGCGGGGACAGGCAGCGATGCCTCGCTGGGACGGCGACGCTTTAGGGGACAGTGAAACCTTGTGCTGAGCTTGCAGCGACTCCAGAGCTGGCTTTTGGGAGGCAGCCAAGGGAGCAGGGCTGGGGGAGAGTCCTGGGATGCTGCTCCTGGGCTGGGGCTGGGTGGTTTCTCTCTTGATTGCATCAGGAGCTCCTGGGAGTGTGGAAGAGGCTCAAATGGGGCACAAAGAGCTCGAGAGCCTTTGCCGCAGCTGGACCGGGGGTTCCACGCTCTCCCCGTCCCTAGGAGCCTTTTTGGGACCCCAGGCTTGGTCTGGGGGTGCCCTGTTTCTGTCCAATGTTTGACCTGGGGGTGCTGCCCCCTCCCCACTGCGCCCCGGGCTGTTGGGGGGGGGACGGAGGGACCCCAGATCCCCTGAAAAACACGCAGGTGTCTGGACTGAGAAGTGGGATGCTGAACAGAAAGGCAGGATGTAAACGGCCCTGGCAGGTCTCCTTTTCCACTCCTCAAGTCCCAACCGGCACCCAAAAAGCCCCTCAGCCCCACCCCAGATATGTCAACGCGGGGGCTGCCCCAGTGCCCCTGGAAACGCCCCCTGGGTGTGCCCAGGTCCATCACCAGGTCCTTCTACCGGAGCGCGGCGGGGGTGCTGCTGGTGTTCGACCTCACCAACCGCGCGTCCTTCGAGCGCGTCCCCGAGTGGCACCGAGAGGCCGCGGGGGGCGGGAACCCCCCCGCCTTCGTCCTGGTGGGGCACAAGTGTGACCTGGAGGCCGAGAGAGCCGTGTCAGCAGAGGAGGCCGGGCACCTTGCCGCCAGCCTGGGCATGGCCTTCGTGGAGACCTCGGCGCGCAGCAACCTCAACGTGGATTTGGCCTTCCAGATGTTGGCGGGGGGCATCCAGGAGGCCCTGGGACGGGGGGTCCTCGCTCCTCACCAGGGCTGTGATGGCATCAGGCTCATCCCCAGCCAGAGCCGCCGCCAGCCCCCAGCACGGGGGGAGCCCCGGGAGCGCTGCCAGTGCTGATGGGGACGGGGGGACACAGGACCCTCCACCCGGGACCCTCCACCCAAGGGGATATCTGTCTCTCCACCCAGGCTTGGGTTTATTTCAAATCTTAATCTGGGGACTCTGAAAAAATAATGCTCTGCTGTAGGAGTGTTTTTAATAAATCTGAGGGTTTTCACGCTAAACAAAGGCTGTGCCAAGCACCGGACACCGGACAGGGACACGACACTCAACCCACGGCATAGGGGATGATCTGATTTGGAGTGGGGGGTTTGCTGGTTGGGTTACACCCCCTCCCATGTCTGTGTCACTTTTGGGGGCCTCCTGTCACTGGGAAAATGGGAGCAGGAACACCCGAGTGGTTCCAGCTGGATGGAGCCAAAATAGAGGGAGTGAAGGGGCTCTAAAGGGGCCACCCCTGGGAAAATGGGACCAGAAACCACATCCAGCTGTATGGACCCAAAATAAAGGGAACAAAGGGGTTCCAAACCAGCACCCCTGGCTCTGGGAACGCCTCCTGGGTGGAGGAGCTCCCTGCCTGCCCGGACACGCGCCCGGCGCGGGGGCGGCGGGGCCCGGCACCGGCAGAGGCACCGATGGAGCCGCCGTGGCAGTACCAGTTCCGGGTGATCATGCTGGGGGACTCCACGGTGGGGAAATCCTCCCTGCTCCGGCGCTACACCGAGGGCACCTTCCTGGACACCGTCAACCAGACGGTGGGGGTGGATTTCTACGTCCAGTTCGTGGAGCTGGAGCCGGGGCTGAGGGTGAAGCTGCAGTTCTGGGACACGGCCGGGCAGGAGAGGTTCAGGTGGGTCCGTGGGGTGGGGAGGGGTGAGGGAGGTGGGTGTCCCACCCTGGATTTGGGGTGGGATGATGTGATCCTGACCCCAGGGAGGTCCTGAATGGGGCTGTGTTCCCGCTGATCCCTTTGACGGGGGAGCCCCATGTGTGAAGAACCAGCCAAAACCAAGGGAAAGGAGCACTTGCTCCAGCTCTAAAGGGGGGGTGGGCCCTGCTCCAAGCACTCCTCTGCCCCACAGCTGCAGAGGGGCTGGGGAAGAAGCTGGGAGCCCACTGGGAGCTGGGCAAAGTGGTTTTCCAAAGTGGTTTACAGCTCAGATGCCAGGAGCCTTCACACCTCGCTGTGGGGCTGCCACTGCTGGCCGGGTGGCTACTGGGGACAAGGGAACTCGGGAGATGCGGCTGCAGGGGTGAGAGAGCTCCAGGACTGTGGCTGCAGGGGAGGGAAAACTCCAGGACCACAGCTGCAGGGGTGGGAAAGCTCTAGGACCATGGCCCCAGGGACAGGAGAGCTCCAGGACCGTGTCTGCAGGAATGGGGGAGCACTGGGTCATGGCTGCAGGGCTGGGGGAGCTCCAGGACTGTGGCTGCAGGGACAGGAGAGCTCCAGGACCATGGCTACAGGGCTGGGGGAGCCCTGGGGACTGTGGCTGCAGGGGACAGACGGGCTTTGGCGGCCGAGCAGGGACAGAGCCACCCTCGGAGCCCTCACTGATGCAGCCAAAGGGCCGATTCTCCGCCCTCTCCCTGTGCTTTGGACAGGGGAGATGCTATCCGAGGTGGCACAGGCGACCTCGGGGGGCTGCTCACCCCCTTTTCCTGGCCTCCCCCCAAGGTCCGTGACTCGCTCCTACTACCGCAACTCCGCCGGGGGGATGCTGCTCTTCGACCTCACCAACCGCGCGTCCTTCGAGAGCGTGCGGCGCTGGCACCGTGAGGTGACCGACACGGTGCAGCCCTTCCGCGTCGTCTTCCTGCTGGTGGGGCACAAGAGCGACCTGGCGGGGCAGCGCCGCGTGGGCCGCAGGGAGGCCGAGAGGTTGGCGGCCTCGCTGGGCGCCCAGTACGTGGAGACCTCGGCCAAGGACGCCTCCAACGTGGCCCTGGCCTTCCAGATGCTGACGGTGGCCATCTACCAGGCGCTGCAGACGGGGAGGTTGGCGGCCACCGAGGCGTGGGACGGGGTGAAGAGCAGCGTCCCCCTGCCCGTGCCGCCCAAAGCCCGGCTGTCGGAGAAGGAGGAGAAGAGGAAGAGGTGCTCGTGCTAGAGCTTGGGGACACGAGGGCTGGGACGTGCTGGGACGTGCCCCCTGCTGCACACCAGCTTGCCAGGACGGGGTGGCAAGTGCTCTCTGCAAGCATTGTAATTAACTGTAAGAGTTGTTAAACAGTTTGATTTTAACAGTTTAGGCTCAGTGTCGAAGATTTGGTGGTTAATGGAGCGGTTCTTGAAAGGACGGGGAAATAAAGTAGCAATAAAATAAAATGAACGTTGCAAGGACCCTGAGGCGTGCTCGTCCTCTGCACATCCCAGTGATCAACGTGCCCAGGACTGTGGCTGCAGGGACAGGAGAGCTCCAGGGTTGTGGCTGCAGGGATTGGGGAGTTCTCATTCCTTCAGCTGCAGGAAGCTCTTGGTGCTCCCTGTCTGTTGGGTAATTGTTTTGTAACCCTGGGGCTGTGCAGGTTTGGCCATCACACAGTGATCCCACCTCAGTGTGGGGTGGAGATTGCAGCAGGAAGGAGCAGCACCAGAGCATTAAACACTCCTGGTCATCTCTCTGCCTGCCTGTGTTTTCCTGGGGAAGCAGCAGTGCTTAGGCTGCCCTTGGGAAGGGTGGAATCCCCAGGTGGGACTTCAGGCACCAGCAGAGGTGGGTGTCACCCCGTTCCCCTCTTCTCTCTCCTGTACTGACCAAGTCCCAAATCATAAAGCCCTAAATTCTTTAAATCTTCCCAAATACAATTAGAAATAACAGATTTATTATGTAACTCAGGTGATATATTATTATCACTCTGGCTCAGCACCTGCCTATCTGAGTCCAAAGCAAAAATCCTTCTGGTCTAGAAGGGGCTGGAGGGGAAGCCACAGGACGAGCAGCTGAACTTGGGTTGCTCAACCTGGAGCAGAGCAGGCTGAGGGCAGAGCTCAGCAGGGGCTGCAGCTCCTCCCAAGGGGCAGCTCCAATCTCTGCTCTGGGGGAGCAGGGACAGCACCCAGGGAACGGCTGGAGCTGTGTCAGGGCAGGCTCAGGTTGGATCTCTGGGAAAGGTTCTTCCCCCAGAGGCTGGTTGGGCACTGCCCAGGCTCCCCAGGGCAGTGGGCACAGCCCCAAGGCTGCCAGAGCTCCAGGAGGGTTTGGACACCGCTCTGAGGGACAGGGTGGGATTGTTGGGGTGTCTGTGCAGGGCCAGGAGTTGGACTGGATGATCCCTGTGAGTCCCTTCCAGCTCAGGATATTCCATGATTCTGCTCCCTTTAAATCCCCAGGAGATCTCCCACCAGGACAGCAGCAGTGACACAACCCCTGCCACCCCTCTGCAGTGCTGCCTGAAGAGCACGAGCCCGTGTCAGGAGCTTAGATTAATAATTTCTTTATTCATGTAAAACAAACGCAAGTATTTATATAAACACTGACATTACAAAGTACTGGAGCAGGAAGGAGGAAACAAAAACCTCTACAGATGCTTCTAATACTGTCCCACACACGACCAAACGCTCTGTCCCTTGGGTAATCAATCACTTGTACGAGAAACCACTTTCAAGTCACAAATAAAAGTCTCTCCTTGAGATACGTCGCACTCTGAGGAGGAACGAGGAAAGGGGCAGAGAGTGTTTTTGGCAGATCTCCTCGTAGAGTCAAGATATTGCTGCACCATTAATAAAAAATAGATGCTTCTCTGTAAAGCACTAAAAAAAAACATCCCACGGGTGACATCGTGGAGGCTTCAGTGGAGAGGCAAAATATCCCAAACTGCACTGGCGGCGTCTCCCGGCTCTGCCCAGGGGCTATTTCTTGGTGGTTTTGCGGATCAGTGCCATCCTCTGCAACAAGGAAAGGGAAAAATGTGGGAAGCTGAGCAGCTCAGAGCAGGTGACTGCCCAAACCAGCTGCAGCCGTGCAGGAGCGAGGCATCCCGGGTGCTCCGGGGACGCTGCCTGACCTGCTCCCACACAGGTCTGTCAGGTCTGCTGGAATCCTAATGGGGTCCCAGGCTGGAGCCAGAGGAGAAGGAAGTGTCTGTGCTGCTCCACTTGGCACCCCGGGGCAGTGGGATCAAACCCCACCTCGAGGCCCCCCCTCTGTGCCCAGTGGGAGCTGCAGCATCACCCAGGAACCCTCCAGCTCCTTTCTGGTTCTGACTGTGCACTTCAAAAGCAATGGATTAATTCAGTTTAAAGCAAAATTAAGGGTGTCTTCAGTCCCTTTGCACAAAGACAGAGACAAATCTGCCAGGGGCAGCTGAGAAGTGCCTGTGTGCAGCTCCCAGCTGGTTTTAACCCTCCCAAGCTGGGCTGTCCCTCAGACTTGTGCTCTTAGGGCACAGCCAACACTGCAGAGGAGCCACAGCAACCTCAACCCTTTCTCCACTAACAGGCCAGGAGGCTCTGGGAGTCATTTCAAGCCCAAACCACTTGAAGGAGGCCACAATTTCACCACCTTCCCCATATCAGCCACGTGATTCCCAGCGTTGTGAGGGCTCCTTTACCTGTTTGTGAGCTTCTGTAGTGCAGGCTTTTTTGTAGGGCCTGATTTCTTCAGAACCAAAGCCCGGGATCCACATGTTCCACTGGCGCTCTGGAATCACAGAAGGCTTTGGGTTGGGAGGGACCATAGAGCTCATCCAGCTCCAACGATGCTTTATCCAGCCCAACACCAACAGCCTGACTTCAGGAAGTGCCCCCGGGTCTCAGCTGAGGGGAAAAAATACACGTAAAACTCACTCACCGAGGTGCAACTGGACGTCTTTGACCTCCAGGGTGTTGGACTTGCGGTGCCGCGCGAGCTGGCAGGCGGCGGTGACCACGCTCTCGATGAAGTCATCGGCGATCTGCAGCAGCATCTGTGGGGAACAAGGGCCATGGCCAGCCTGGTCAGCTCAAATCATGTGGGGGGGATGAAAATGAGCCCTCAGAAGTTGGTATTTAGAAGCGTGGAATGCTCCAAGTTGGAAGGGACCCGCAGGGATTATGGAATCCAACTCCTGGCCCTGCACAGACACCCCAACAATCCCACCCTGTCCCTCAGAGCAGTGTCCAAACCCTCCTGGAGCTCTGGCAGCCTTGGGGCTGTGCCCACTGCCCTGGGGAGCCTGGGCAGTGCCCAACCAGCCTCTGGGGGAAGAACCTTTCCCTGAGATCCAACCTGAGCCTGCCCTGACACAGCTCCAGCCGTTCCCTGGGTCCTGTCCCTGCTCCCCCCAGAGCAGAGATCGGAGCTGCCCCTCGGGAGGAGCTGCAGCCCCCCCTGAGCTCTGCCCTCAGCCTGCTCTGCTCCAGCTGGACACACCAAGTGCCCTCAGCCACTCCTCATATGGCCTCTCCAGACCCTTCACCACCTCAGTGTCTCTCGTTTATGTCCCTCTATTATGGCTTTGTATCTTTTCTATATCGTGGTGCCCCACACTGTATTTCCCCCAGGACTGTATTTCACAGCTTTTTGCAACAGAGCCATTTTGGCACAGGGAGACAGGGATGGCTGAAGGCTGCAGGAGAATAGAGAGGTGTCAAATGAATCGTGAAAATGTCTCTGAAAATACCCAGATTAGCTCTTTCTGCAGCCCCTGCCATGGGTTGGTACCCACCTCCTCCACATCTTCATCCAGCTGCTCGTTGGGATCCACCTCACGCACCAGGTCCTGCAATTTCTTCTTGGTTAAAACCTGAGGGTGTGAGAGAAGAAGAAGGATTTACTGCCCTGCTCCAGCAAAGCAGCAGCACAGCCACAAACACCCCCTCCCCCGTGCCCCCAGGGCCCGAGTCACACTGTTGACACAGTCTATCAGCTCAGGAATGGCAGGGATAAGGAATATCAGGTGTTAAGGAGTCATTTTGGAGCACCAGGGGTTGCTCTGGGCAGAAAGGGGAAGCAGCAGCCAGGATAAATATCTCCAGCACCAAACTGGCACGAAAATGCTGCTGGCAAGGGTGGGGGAAAAGCAAAACTACAGGTTTTAAGAGGAAGACAGCAAGTGTAAGCAACATATCAGTGACTAAAGCTGTGCTCAGGACACGAGGGAAGTATTTCCATGGCTCTAGTGCTTATCAGCTTTAGTGCTTCTCATGGAAAACAGAGATAGGTGAGTGCTGGGTTATCCCAGGGCAGCATCCAAACGTGGCAGGGAGCAGAAACCACACCAGGCTTGACCAACAGGATGCTGAGTCTTAAAAGATCTGGATGGAAGTTGTCAGCCTGCTCGGGTGATCCAGGCACAGGTGGGAAATTCCTGCCTTTCCTGGTTCCCTCACTGCTGTGCCTGTGTTTGTGGGGGGGTCTGGTGCAATTCCTGAGAGTCCCAGTGAAGCCATCAGGGAGCAATCCCAGGGCAGCAGCTTGTTTCATGCACATCAAAGCCTCCAAAGGTTGGAAGGGACCTTAAACCCACCTTATTCCACCCCCTGCCATGGGCAGGGACACCTTCCACTAGCCCAGGTTGCTTCAAGCCCCATCCAATCTGGCCTTGGACACTTCCAGGGAAGCCACAGCTTCCCTGTGCCTCAACACCCATTTTCCTGAGACTGCAAAACCCACAGCATCCATTCCACCGGCCTGGAAGCAGCTGGAAGAACTCCAGGAGGAAGTTCTGCTCACTCAGTAACTGATACTTTAACAGACACAAAGTATTTGCTGGTGATTTAAGGAGAGAGAACAGAGCCAGGGGCAGGGCTGAGCATCATCCCTGTTGTCCTGGAGTCAGGGATGGAATTACCTGGTTGCTCTCAGGGCTGAGCCTGCCCCCTCCACTGGGTGTTCCAGGCATCTTGGCCACGGTGGTGCTGTTGGCCATGGAGCTCTGGGGGGGGGTGCTGGCTGGCTCTGGCTTGATGGAGGAGAAGTTGGAGAGGTTGATCAAGGTAGAAGGGCCAAACTGGTTCATAATCTGCTGGGCTTTAGATTTTAGGTCATAAAGCTTGTCCAGGTCCTGCTTCTTCTTGGGGTTGTGGGGACCCAAACCAATCAACTGGGAAAGGAAAGGAGAGCCAAGGTTAGAGGCAGAGAGGGAGTTCAGTGGGGTCTTTGTCCTGAGAAAACTGGAGTTTATAGGATATTGGGAGTCTCTGGACACAGCAAGAAGTGAGAAGTGATGTTTA